TAGTGGTTGGGTATTAGGAGTACAAAATGTAAAAGAAGGAATTTTTGGACGGGCAATTCTAAATGCAGCCCGTCTTTTGCTAAACACAGCCTCTTGTTGAAATACGTTGGATGAATTTTACAAACTTATCCTTTGACAAAGATTAATTCTTTCAACTGCTAACGCATAGCCACACGAATATGTTTCCCGTGAATAGGAATCAACTCCGATCCTTAAACGACGCTCAACTATGAAGGTGGACATACGGAAGCTATGGTGGCGGTGGAGGCGGCTATGGAGGCGGCAAGCCTATTTTAGGAGAGAAAGGTAGTATCAGGGTCGGATCTAGTCTGCTACGAGGTAGATCAGTCCACCCCCGTGTCCTCCAGTTGCTTACCTAGTACCCGCAATCCAGCTTGGCCGTCCTGCCATTTCGCTGCTCGGTAAATACAATAAAAGCCAGCCACCCGATTTAGTTCATCGTCTGGAATACCCTGCCGCCCGGCATGCAGTGCCGCTCTGTTTCAATCGCCGGACATATCCGCCCGACACGTTACCCCCACTAAGACCCAATCGCCGCCTAGCGGATTTGGAAAAATGTGGCCGTCGGCCCATGCGTGCTCCGTCCATGGGGTTTATACTCCTAAAAGCAAACAGGGGACAAGAAGTGTGCTTCAAAATAGATGTAGGCTAAGAACAAAGAAAAAGAAGTGATAACATGAGAGATGATGGGTTGATGAGCAGTGCCGGTATGGGGAGGGGAAAACGATGGGTTGACAAAGTAGACAGGGGGGAGGAGGAAGACGATGGGTCGATAAGCATTAAGCAATGCAATTAAATGACTAGCTAGGGATAAAATAGACATTCTATTTATATTTAATTATTAATTATTTTTTATTAGGGCTGTGAATAGCAATTATGTAGCTGCATTTAGAATTACCCTTTTTGGATTCCTAATTCCATGTAGTGGTAGTCCATAATAGGTAGTAAAAATGGAAAAGGCGGATCCGCAAACCCGCTGCAATTTTCATGTTAAAAAGCAGTGGTTTGATGCTCCCGCTGTTATCCAAATGGACTCATAGACTCCCAAGGCTAAAACATACGGTGGACATGCGTGGAGGAGAATGGGAGAGAGGAAGTGGGGACGTATGACTCCATTTTTTCACCACCGCTTACATGGAGTGAGCGATGAAAGGCCTTGAGTTTTTTTTTCTTTTTTCCCCGGATTAAGGTCGTATGACTCCATTATATAAAAAGGTCGTGTTTTTTTTTAAATGTATTATAACTTTTTTATTTTTAATCTAAATTTTATAAAAGATCAAAATTCATGAATTTTTATGGTCTTTCATATGACACCAATATGTAATACGTAGTATATAAAAATGAAAAAAAAAATTGAAGTTTTAAGTGTTGAATTTTTTTAGCATAAAAAACACGAAATACAAATTTTAAATTCATGGAGCCTTCACAAATAGCCGAATATTCCATAATCGAACTTTACTTGAACTAAATTCATTTTTTGTTAATCGAAAAACGTTAAAAACATTTAATGAAATTTATTTATTTTTATATCGAATGTGTATTTTTTATTTCATAATTATTCAGGGAAAAAAAGAAGGAAAACATACTTATAATAAATTAATTAATGTTTTATTAAATTGAATGTAAAAAAATTATGCTGAGTGTATTTTATTGACGGTGCTGGAATGCAGGAAAATAGGAGTCAAAACACTCTTTTCACATGAATGGAGTCCATTTTTGACATTTTGGCCTCCACACCACTCCAAATGGTCTAAGGACACATTCTTCAAATTATGGGAATTATCCCAGTCTCATACCATGCCAGATCAGATTGTATCAGTTCAGATTAGATCAGACCAAACTTTGGCAGTTGTAAAATACAAAATAACCTGAGATTTAACAGACTAGATCATCATATCACACCAGACTAAACTATACTAGATTAGAAGAATTCTTCTTCCAAAAAAAAGATTAGAAAAATTCTAAGTAAAAACATTTTTAATACTCTGTACCTTATAAGCCATTTCCTCCTTTATAAGGCCGCATAATTTTGAATAGAAAAGAGATGTCTCACTATGGGGATAGATCTGGTGAGAAGCTTGCTTGGGCTGAAAAATGAGAAGTAATATGGAGCGTTTGATCATTGAAAATCTGGCGGCCAATTTTTATTAATGACCTTTCGGTAGTCTATGTTTATCCCTTTGATTCTGTAAATTCTCTTTCCGCTTAGAAGTCAGAACTTCAACGACTTATCCCCTGCAACTCAAACTGTGACATAGCATCTTCCTAATACCTTCTACGAAGTGCAATCCGCGCAACGATGTTATTAATTGGAACCACTCTAGCGAGATTCAATCGTGCAACGATGATAATCGCAACAACTCCAGCAAGCTAAGGTTCAATCGTGCAATGACGAATTGAAAAACCTCAAATGAAGTGCAACAATTCAATCAAACAAAGACGAACCACTAACTTCTATGAACTTCCGCTTGCAACTTCAAATGTAATTTTACGAAAATCTATAAACTTTGATTCGATTCTTACTTGTTTCAACCAATTTCAAAATACATTCCAAGTCACCGATTTATGTTAACTAATAGATTTTCATCCAGATTGGTTGAAGATGATTATAATGAAGTGAGAAGCAATTATAATGAAGTCTAATTCTACTGGACTTGTAATAATATATGCTTGATGGATTATTTAATCTAGAGAGAAGGGAGAGCTAGAGAGATAAAGTGATATGTGTATAATGAATGCCAATCAACCATCCCATCATTTACATGGCTCCCATAGGGAGTATTTATAGGAGAAAAGAAGGCTGGGCTTCCAGGCTTGGGCCTGGAAGGCCCAACTACAATAAAAGGCTAATAAAGGACTAATAAATGATATCTAATCTATTCTAATAGATACATCTGAATAAATAAAGTGTACAATGAGATAAATGCTATCTACTAAGCGTATGTGGGCCGCTGTCCGGGCCCAATAGTCGTGAGACCAGGGGGTCCGAGTCTATATACTCTATCAATGCTATTCTATTGGATTTTAGTATAAGAAGAATTTTAATCTTCTCACCTTCTTAAAATCATTTGCCCACACCATGTGCTTGATATGTTGTCTCAATAAATGTTAATTTTCTATACACGCTTCTGACCTCGACTTTGAGCTAAATTATATAAAAATCAAATTCATAGTCAATCAGTATCAATTTGATCTTTAAATTTTACTTCGTTTTCCCTCTACTTCATTTATGCTAAATAATAAGATCTTAGGTTTTGAAAGTCATAAGAGTTTTAATAAAAGTTATGTCTATCGATTTAAAAGGGCCTTTTGGCCTGGATATTACTAAAAATAGGATAAATGACAAAAAGTTAAACATTTTTAAAAAATCCAAAAATGTGACCAACAACAAATTAGCTCCTGCAATCCAAAGTGACTTCGGCCAAAGTGACTCCGGCCAAGTGACTGTCCAACGGCCATAGTGACTGCCCCACCGCCACAGTGACTGCCCCACCGCCACAGTGACTGACCCACTGCCACAGTGACTGCCCCGCCGGCCCCAGTGACTGCCCCGCCGCCACAGTGACTGCCCCGCCGCCACAGTGACTGCTCCGCCGCCACAGTGACTGCCCATCCACAGTGACACTCCGTCTCGATCATAGTGACTGCGGCAGAAGTTACTCCGAGCACAGTGGCTGCCCACCGGTCACAGTGACACACCAACTCCATTCATAGTGACACGCCGTCTCCGGTGTCCCTGCCCTATCGCCACCCTTACCACATCCACGGACTACCGTGGACTGCCGTCACAACCACCATCTCAAACCCATTCACGTCCCCAGCCCCTCCCTCCTTAGCCCCCGGCCACCTCCCCTCCAGTCCCCCTACCAGCTCCCCTCTGGTCCCCATACCACCTCCCAGCCCAGATCTAGCCCAAACTGCATCCAAACAGCCAGATCTAGTCCTAACCAACCCCTTTACAACCGTTGCACCATATCGACATTCAGTCCAGTAGGAAAGAAAGGAAAAGAAGAAGATTAGAGAATCTACGATGGCGGATGCAGAGGCGGCACGGCGTGGAGGAAGACGGTGACGGCGAGGCAGAGCAAAGTGCGAGGACGGTGCTAGATCTGGAGAAGGTCAACGCCACCAACAGAGAGAAGAAATAGAAGAAGTTCGTAGCTAGGGCGAGCACGAGGGCGGCGACGAAGGCGGCGAAAACCAGTGGGAGATCGGTGGCGACGTTTCGTTCCTCTGTCCGTGGAGGGCGACGGCAACGACGAGGAAGGTAGCGGAGGAAGCACCGAACCTCGTGCTCCGTCTCTGCGATCTGCAGCGGCGATCTTTAGTGGCAATCTGCTCCTTGGTTTTTGAACGCAGCAATGAAAAAGAATAGAAGAGACGGTCTTGGAGCGTAAAAAATCGGAAAAGGAGATTAGCATTTAAAGACGCAGTTTTTAGTCCAAACTCAATTTAGTCATATTCTTATCAATTAAAACCTGATTACTCATACATGTGCCATTTTTTCATTTAAAAGTTATCATAATTCAGGCACAAGTTATGCTGTTTTTCTTCATGGAACATCTTATCATCAAGTGTTTTACTCAAGATGAAACGCTTAACCATAGGAATTGAAAATCAGTGTCAGTAACTCATTAAGTAAGGGAGTGTTTGCAATTGCTTCAACTTTAAAGAAGTGATTTTTTAAAGTGATTTTGGGAAAAGTGATTAATAGTAAAAGTTGGTAGTGTTTGAGGAAAAAGTGATTCTGAAAAAGTAAAAGTTGGTAGTGTTTGGTAAAAGAAGTACTTTTTGTGTAATAGAAAAAGTGAAAAAGCAGTTTAAAGCACCCTTCCATCTGCTTCCAGCTTTTAGCTTTTAAGTGATTAATTTAAGCTGAAGCTGTCATTTGAAAACACTCTTTTTAACTTTTTTTAAGCCAAAAGCCGAAAAGCACTTTTTTTAATGAAATGCAAACACTCCCTAAGTCACAGTAAGCACAACCTATCATTTTGGTAATTGCCGATATGATCACAATGAACAAATATTACACAGGACAACAAACTATATGGATCAACCAAGCCACTGTGTGAAATTTCCACTTCGAGAATAGACCTGACTACCTCATAGAGCAATTGAACAAGGTCCAGTTCGAAGTATCATAACAAAAGTTGCCCGGGAAAGAAACACAAGGCCACTGGCTGCTACCTCAGATCCACCGTGGAATCGGAGCGATGTCAACGGCAACGACAACAACGAAATGGCTGAATCGGATAGCTTCAGATCCATACTATCTTCTCCACTTCATTGCATGCTTCTCCTACATCCCTATGCGCTGCGCCGCTTCCCATTTTCTCATTCCTTCTCGCAACGCTCTCCTTGTCAAACGCGTACTTTCCCTACCTCTCTCGCTCTGTGCCTTTATTTTTCTCCATTCTGTTTTGGATAAGTGAGAGGTTTTGTCAACATTCAAAGAGTTATTAGGTGTAGACATCTTAACAAATAACAATATAGAGCAGTGAGAATTTGAAAGATTAGATTTCACTATATTACATTTGGATATGTTGAACCAAAGAGGGCAGGTCTTCGGCCTGGATTGCCCATAGAACAGATGGTGGATGGCTTCCTTTTCAGCTTCAAGAGCAATTAAAAAAGAAGTTATCCGTTTGTATTTCATCATGATTGAGGTACCTGACGCTTTTGAGATTGCTAAAAGAGGCATTCACACTGAATTTGTAGCCTTGACTGGTTGACAAAACAGTAAACTTAGGCAGTGATTTTTTCCTCATGAAGTCAGCAGGTTCAGCAGAGAGCCTAGGAGGGTGTAGGGTCCCACCGAAGAATAATATTACTATTTGGTTATTAGATCCGTGTCCGCTTTTGATCTGGTTAAAATGTAGGGGGTGTTTGGATCTGATTCTCAAAACTGTTTCTGCTCCTTCAGGGAGTAGAAACAGAAGCTGGAGTGTTTGGGTGAAATTCCAGAAGCACTTCTGGAGCTCTAATTTACTCTCAGAATCAGTTTTTTTAGAAGGTGGGGGTACCAGCTTCTGAAAACGGATTCTGATTCTGCTTCTGCTTTTAAAAAAGAAGCAGAAGCAGAATCAGTTCCAAACACCCCGTATTTGTTCTTAAATGAGGGCTGTACTCTGATACCGGGGAAGCAGCAGGAAAGAAACGTTGCTAGAAGAGAAACCATTACTTTTAATAACCCAAGCCCAAAACAACATTTTTTTTGGCCTTGAGTGTTGTTTAAAAAGAACAATGTAAATCGACATAATTTGAATCGAGTAAAAAAAAGTGATGACGTTGAAACAAAGTGTCCCTACTCCCTACTATCAATATATAACATTGAATTACCTTAGAGCCATTTTTTACTCGTGTTCCAAAATGAAGTACTGGTTTCAGTTTACCATACAATTTTATATACATGGGAACGGATCAGTCTACTATACTTAACTAAGAATAAAGTTAACTTTTCCTTGATATTTGTCCAGTATCATTCCATACCATCTCGGCATAATTCTTTAAGAGGATACAAGTAATAGCACCAGGAAAAATATGTTTGAAATGCCTTCATTGCCCTTCGATCCTGATTCAAGCCACCAATTGATATGGAGTTGTTTGATGGAACACTGGATGCAGGCTTTGGAATCTGCATCAGTCACATGACTCACATGAAGTGCCAGACTTATTTGGCTAATGGACTGAAAAATACAATGATCTTACTCTGTGCTAATGTGTGTTTGCCTCTGTGTTTTCTTCAAAAATAAGGTTTTGATGAATTCCAATTATTGAACATAAACTAATTGACAGGAAATTCAAGCACTTGTTGCTTTTAGTGCGATATCTGTTGTGAAGGTATACATCTTTAGCTGATTTGTTCATTTTCGCCTCTTAAAGTTAAGTATGTTGTAAATTTGACTAATATTTGCATTTAACAGACAGTGAGGGCGGAAACATGGCAGACAGTCATCTCAGATACTCTATTTTTTGCCAAGGTATTTTTCTACTATTTTTTTATAGCTTATGTTGTTATTCATTTAGTTAGAAGATATTGGATTGAGTTGCTACTTCATTCATTATGGACATACTTTATACCAAGGAGATAATTGCAGGGTGTGGATCCAATAACCCATAGCTTGATGTCTTTAAGAAACGTAATCAGTTTACGAATTGAATAATTCGTGTTTGAGTTAGGCCGAGTGGTTGGCATGGAGAGAACAGGAATGTTACACATTGTCTTGAATTTGTTTATTCAATATAAATTTGGCTGAAATGGTAAAAGTTGGTGAAATCATGGCTGAAATTGCTTAAGTTTTTAATTGTTGAAAAAAGTAATTTAGAATATGATGTATTAATAAGTTGATGAAAAGATTAACTGAACATGAAGGTAGAAGTGTCATTTTCTCTCATTTCAGCAACTAGCAAAAATCAACCTTCTTCACAATCTTTTACTATCGACCAAGTTAGTGAGAGTAATCAAATAAGTTTAGTGCTTGGTAAAAAATCTTGCTAATAGGTTAGAGTTGACCATAGTGTGTCTGGATTAAGCTGAAGGGAGAGTAAAAGAGGAGATGCAGTTATCTTCTCTGCTAAGGGTTTAATGGAGGTAATGTGAGGATGCTTCCAACCTTTCTATTCAGTTCAAAAGTAATCACTCCAAATCTGGGTGATGTGAAAGGGAAGTATAAACTTGTATAGACTAAAACACTATTCAGTTTCAATTAAAGCTACATCAAGAAAATGACATATTAGTGATCATAGTTATAGATTTTATCACTCCCCTCACTCTGTTGACCGTTTCTTCTCATCCACATTTTCTATATACACCTCCATCCCCCTAAATATCTTCAATATTCTTTGGTCATTTCTCTAGCTTTGGAGGTTCAAGTTGATGTTGCGTCCACAAAAATATTTTCCTGTACCAGAGTATAAATGTAGTTTATATAAAAGAGCATATATTACACTACAACCAGGATAACTCGAAACGCTCATATAATATCTACAGATTCAATTGCCCACATGAACCTACTGACACTGTGAGAGTGAAATTGACCAGATGTGTTTACCTGTCTAGATAGTATTATTCCACAGGGAAATGCCATTCACTAGAACGTCTGTAATTCTTCATTGAGTTGAAGATGGGATAGAAATGAAAGATATATGGAATACTTTACATCTTTATCTAATAACCTGTGATTTATATATTGTCATTGAATGAATGGTCCCCCAGAAGTAAGAATACTTGGATCAAATTCTTCCATGTCTAAAAGCACAGCTGGAATGAACATACCATTCACTAAATGATTGACCGATCACTTTGCATTTGGAAAGGTGACCAGAAAAACTTAAATTTTTGTTAGCTTTGAATAGATAAAGTATTTGCTCTTTTGCAAAGAAATGAGAAAACACTTATTCTAGCATTCTATTGGTGAAATTATTAGTAGGGTGCATACCTAATAAAGAGGCAAACCTCATTTTTTTCCCCAATTTGAGTGACTTGAACTACACGAGTGATAGCTGCAAAAGTTTGTTCCGAACTTGTTCTGTTACATATGAGTGAAATGATGCTACTTACCTTGTTACCTCTTAGTTGTATGCAGTTTATCTTGACATGCTAACTTCGCAACTGACGTATCATTTCCAGATTTTCCTTAACGCACTTGCTTTAGTTATGGATTATCACTTGGCACTCTGGTACACATTGATGTTTTTAGGTGGGTACTGTTCTGTTACTCTACATAGATTTGTTTTTTGAAAACAGATAAGAATGCTTTGACATGAAGTGGCAATTTCAATGCCTTTTGTTTGCAATTCTTTTAAACTTTAACCTGTAATTGGATACTTTCAATTAGTGGATACATGATTGAGTTTTCATGAATCTGAAGATATGGGCTCATATAGTGGCAAATTCCCCACTAACTGACATGTCGGTGGAGGCTTGAAACACCATCCCATGTCATGGCCTCATGGATTCAATTCCTATAAGAAGTCTTATAAAATATTTGTTAATGCTTACATATATTCTCTCTAAAATCTCTATATAGGAACTAAGGGACTAGGTACACCCTATGCATCATAGGTTCTTAGTTTGTTCTATGTATATTTTATGTAGCAAATTTCGCTACTTTTAGCATTTTAAAAGTTTGTAAGTTCCAAAATGTTAGAGAGCTAGGTAGTATGGGATACCAAAAGTCCCACACCGAGTAGAATGGGATACTTGGTGGGGTTCGGCAAAATTCCGCTGTCTTGCCCCCCGTTTAAGTGCCTGGTTCTCCCACCTTGTCAGCTAGCTTTTGGGGTGTGGCTCTCCAAGGTGCTTAAGTTACTAACACAAAATATGGACTTGGTGTTTAAAACAAAGGAGTTCACCTATATGTTATTGCTTCATGTGGATATGGTAGTTCATACAAGAATGCATTAATTCATGATTTACTGCATTAGTATGGGCAAACTGGCCCGTGTTGATGTCAATAGTATAACTTAATGATTTACTTTTAGCTAAGATTTTTTAAACAGATATGGGTAATCTGCCAAACTGGGTTGTGCTAATTCTTTTACTGTATTCTGTTCTAATTTACTTTCTTTCATTGCAGTCATACATATTCTAACACAACAGCCTCCCTACGAAGGCCTAGGTATGGGATAGTGTATGCTTATGTCTCTCATTGGTGCTTATGTCTTTGATTTTTCAATGTTATGGTTTGGTATTAAGTTTATTAACTAATTTGATGAGATTGATGATTACCTTGACTACAAATATTTACTTGTGTAGGCAATTCAATTCAATTAACCCCGTTGCAACTGGAGGCTTTGCTTACTGAAGGGACCACTTCAAGATTTTGGTTGGTCGGTCTTATAAATCATATTTCCATTTCCAAACAGAATGTTATAGATATGATAATTAATTTATCACATTTTTCATATATTATTGGATTTTGGTGCTTAAAGTGTTCTTTAGTAAATGTAATAATTTTTTCATGTAAATGTAAGCCTAGCATAAAAATTCCAAGTTTTGTTGAGTCCCAGTCCATTAGTATTGTCCATTTTCATGTACCAATCTGCTCTCGATTAAAAGGTGTGTACAAATATGTTTTGCCATTCCTGAGTTGATGGGATCTTTTAAAAAAATCTTCTGTGCAATTGATTAAATAAATTGTAGGCCATCCAAATTGACGTGAAAATAGGATGCAATGATGCACACACTTATGTCACATATTAATCTAAAATAAGCAATAGACAGGTCACACAACCTCTCATGTAGAATCTTTTCTCTGATTTTCTAAAGCATTATGCTTTGCAGGTAGAGTTTCGTGCATTGTCAACATCAACTTGTATATGCACCAGTTCGTTTTTCCCCGAACTCTCAATCACGTAAGTGTTAGAAACTTTAAACATCTGCAGTAAGTCGGTTAGTAGGGTTTCTAACGGGTTAGCTTCTTCTTTCAAATGGTTACATATTGAACTATTACATTCTAGACTTCTAGTATTCATTTATTAAACTGCATGTTGTTTCTCGCATAACTGCATGGAGTCCAGATTCTCAATAGTGATGATGCTTTTTATATTTCCGTAATATTTGTTCCCCCCGAACTGAATAGTAATGGAAGGGAATGGTGAGAATCCCCACTCATTTGTTGGTTAGTCACATGCTCAGTTGTCTTGTATGTTTTTCTTTGTTAGATACTCAAACAAAAATTTGTCCTTTGGAGTAGTTGATCTTGGTCTCTTCCCAAATGCTGCAGAAAAGTTCGAAATTTCTTTGGGTAAGACAATAATAATACAATTGATTTGATTGTTACTATCTGGGTTTGATGGGATTGCAAATTACTCCCTCCATCCCACTAACAATGGGACAAGGAATGACTTGCAAACCAATAAAAAGTGGTGTATGTGATTGATATTGAATTGATAAAGTAAGAATAAAGTAAAAGTGGGACAGTCTTAGTGGGACGGACCGAAAAGGTAGAATGGGACAATCTTAGCGGGACGGAGGTGGTAATTAGGAAGAGGTGTTCTACACTGTCATATATACTGCCTCTGTTCCTAATCTATTTTCTCATTTGACTTCGCATGTAAATAAACTGTGTGGTCAAAACTTGTTTGGAGAAACGTCTGCCCTTAACACAATACCAAACACCATTTCTTAAAGCAAAGAGAGGATAATGTAGGGACGGATGAAAAAGGAAAAGATGAAGTAAAAAAAAAGGATAGCAAGGGCACACACTTCAGCCTCTATATTTATTATTATGCCAACCCATGCATACATATTTCTACTGAATCTACTTGATGCAGCAAGTTTGAACCAACTTCCACTCTATATACTATTTGAGAATGGAGCCGAGGTCACACGTTTTCCCGAGTTGGATTTTCAGGGAACAGTTTTCAGCTCTTCTGTAACAAAGGTAATAATTCACTGATGAATTACGCTGTGCACAATGCGTCTTTATTTTGTCTTTGTGATGAAACCGCTATACTTAATATTTGTGTGTTGAGTTTTTTACCCAAAATCTGTTGATAAAATTATCACGCTTTTGTTGGTATGTTGCCACTAAATCGTAACCTTTTGAGATATATTTTTATTCTTTCACACTTGTAATGTGATTCATAGGGGCGTTGTCTTTAAGAAAGTTGAAAGCACTCTAATTGTGCATTGTTTTTCACTTGATGGATTGATTTATAGTAATATAGGAGATTAGAAGGTATGCTTGTGAAATATACTGTAGTATTAAATTTGAGGAAGAAAAAAAATAGAGAATCCTTCAACGTATTCTCCCTCTGGAATGGCAGATTGGATGCTAATAATGTTAGAAGCACAAGAAAATATGGTAAGTCTATTCAATACAAAGAAACGAAAGATGTAAGGGAGTATCAGAGGAACTCTCCAAGAGTCCTGGAAGAAGTAGAAACTCTCCAACACTATGTTCTGGACTTTTGGCCTCATCACAATGATCTTCTCTATCATGGAGCCTTTTTATAGTCTAATGCAGTTACACGGAAAAGTAAGAAATAAGTTGCACATCATATAAAGATTCTAATACTAATCTATACTCCTTCATATTTTGTTGATTGGTTCCTACACTATTGCTCATTTATATCCTTGATGTCTGCCCTGGACTCTACTCGTGACCTGTATTACTGACACATTAGAAAAGAGCCTTGTCCACTAGGCTCAAATTAAGAGGTGGCCTGAGAAATACTGTAATAGCGAGTCTCTATTTTTTACGGGCTTTCACAAACTGTTTCGCTCCAGACTTTATTTAAGCCGCTCACAGGGCATATTGTCATTTCTTACAAAATATCGTTCAACTCAACAGCAAATATATAAATTGATCCAAAATATCTGCAGTATGCATTTATAACTCCACCTGCCGATTCCTTTATCTTAACCCATCCATTAGCCAAACCATCCAGGTCTTAAGGCTCCATCTGTTTTAAATTTGTACAAATGTGTTGGGGGTTTACTCCCACAATCTTTCTTGTGAATATGTTCTGGAAGTTCCAACTATTTAATTTTTGAATCTGGTAATTCTAGTTTTAGAAGTACTATGGTGGTTTCATATTCCCATTAGCTTTAGGTTTAATGTTTCCAACTCTAATTGATGTTAGACTCATAATTTCTCTGTATAAGCATCACAGTGGTCCTTGGAAATTATGAAATTGTTGTGAGTTTTAGAAATCTTTTTATTCAAGATTTATACTAGTAACATTTATGTTGTGTTTTGGGGTGAAAATAAGGGGAAATGAGAAAAAAATGAGGTGATCTGCTATATGCACTGTATCACGGGGTCTTGAATTTAACTGTTAATACCTAAAAGAAATTGGTATGAGTGCTCTTATTTTTTCTAGCCCAGCTGTGCATTTTCCTTGAATTGCAGAAACTTCTATGTGAGCGCTTTGAACTTGATAAGCGGCTTCTAGATTACATTGTCGGAAAATAGGGGTAAGCTGGCATCCTATACTTGACCAGTTGACCTTATTGCACGACATTCATATCTGTTCATAAATCCAACTGTTCTGTTTCAGGCAAAAAGAGCGCACACGCTATACTCCATTGAGAGCAGAGACTGGTCTGAGTCATTCTTAACTGGAACTGTATATCTTTCAGTCCGAAAGTATATCTTTCACTGATTAACAAAAGAGTAGTAAATCTCCATTGTATTCACTTCATGTAATGACCTCTTGAACCTTACTGATTTATGTAATCTCAAAGTGACGGCTGAGGTTTATTTCTGACTGCCGTGGAGTAAAATGGCTGTAGTGAAACTTCATTTTTATCCTCTTTTAAGCTAACTTCATTGTAATAAAAGGAAAGGTCTGAAACAAAATTGAATCATACATATGAGGCTAGGGGTGGGTCAGGGATTTGGGTTCGTGAGGTATCTAGCCCTGTCATTTTGTCAATATAAACAGCTCAAGATTAAGATGATTTGGGACGGTTTAGGGCATGCTTTAAACAGTTAAATTAGACGAAAGAGCATCTCATAGATATCACATAAACTTCCATTTAATCCTTTTTTTTTTTAAAATTCGCTACACAATTCACTAATTAAGCAATTAAATGGAAAACAACCATGGTCCAATTTCGTTTAATCGAAAACAGAAAATGTCTCGATTTGCATCATTTGCAATGTCTGATGGCCGCCTCAGTGCAAGAGAGAAACACACCAACAAATAGCAATGATGGCACACTAATTAATTTTTTTTAAGTTTTTTTAAATAGTGCAATTGGGCCTCGACTGGGTTGGGCCCAAAAAACTGAGCCTGAAGCCCGCCCCTTATAAGTTATAACTATCGACCCCGGCCTGAGACTGGGCCGGAACAGTAATGGGCCAAGCCGGGGCCAAGTTGGCTCAGCCCGTCCCAGTCCATCCCTAGCACAGAGACTTTCCGGATGACCTATGGTGAAAATCGCATCGAAAATTACATGCCTGCATCCTATATCCTATTTAATTGCAAACACTTGTTTACGGCGGTAGTTTGGCTATTAATTTTGAGATCCCATTATTTTTTTAACCGTGTATTAGTGAAAATTATCAGAAAATATATATTTACAAAGTTCACTTCAAGAAAAGTTTTATACATAGTAGTAGTTTGATAAGTTAATTTTTAATGTATTACAGTAATAGGTTAAATATATTCAAAACAGAGTATACTACAACTAATAATAGTATAAAGCCTAACAGTTGCAAACTTGCAATTATTAAAGAAAGCAGAAAGTATATATGAAGTATATACATATCATGACAAGATTGACTTTCCATGTTGGGAAACTTATTTGTTTGAAGACTATAGGAAGAGAAAGAACAATAATAATGTACCAGACATGGGAAAAGTTAAATACATGGTCATAATTGAGCCCAAAGTAGTTACCAAATATCTAGGTGGTTAGCACATGCCCACTCACATCTGATTCTAGACCAGCCCATTTTGATTAGCGAATAAGAACCCAATGGGGTGGCAGTATGTTACCTTACTTCAATTCCGGGTTAGTTCTAGCTCAAATTGTTGAAAAGCAGTCATGGATGGGGTAGAGGAAATGAAATTATCAAGAAAAACATCTAAAATGAAAATTCTTAAATTCCTAAGAACCAATAATACATCTCTCCAAAATAGACTACAAATTTGGTAAATTATACCGTACACCCGGCTGTACGGTGCTCACGGTACATCCAGGTATTTTTGAGAGACTACAAATGGTCTCTCAACTCTTTAGCCGGCCAGCTTCGTCTGTATTCTTCCCTGCACGTGACCTTTTACTTTAATCTTTTTTTCATTTTTTTTCGTTTTTTTTTTCTTGACTTCCATTTACATTGATTTTAATTTATGCTGAATATTTAAGTATTAATGTTTTATTTTTTTATTTTTAATTTAAGATGAATATTTTATATTTATTAGTTTAATTATTATGTCCTAATTACTAACATGAGTTTTGTATAATACTAAAATGAGTATAATGCAAAATAAATATGCATAGGTAAACATTATAAAAAGAACTCAATTATAATTGCAATTCCAGAATGAAATACTATAAATTATTTTAATATAAAATTACTATATTTTTCATTATAATAGGAGCACAAATGAACATTTAAACATATTAGAGAATTCAAACGAGCTTTTGAATTTTTCGATGCTCATATGTAAGTTACGTATATTCATATGATCCCGATTTTATGCTCATTTTAAAATATCATATTAGATTGACATGGGAGCAGAGATTATGATACTCAATTGCCTGCTTCTAATATTCAATAGAAAAGATCCGATGTTCAATGAAAATGTCTTGATGCTCAACTAACATTGTTTATGATTTTCATATCATTGTTCATTTGGTAATTTATGTATGCTCATTTGGTACCGGTTTTGTGCTCATTTTAAAATGTAAAAGTAATACATACTTCAAAAGTATCATATTACATAAGATTTACGTAGGAGTTGATTATAGACAGTTTAGACACTAGAGCACAAAACATGTTTGTAATACTCAATAGTCGAGAGTTGATGATCAATGAAAATGTTTTGATGTTCAACTAAAAAAAGTTATCATTTTCATATGAGTGCTCATTTTGTAAGTTACGTGTGCTCAAATGATACTCATTTATGCTCGTTTTTAAAATATCATATGAATGCATATTTCAAAAGTATCATACGTAGTATTACATTAGCTTCGTATATTGAAGTTCATCGGAGTTGATTATAGATATAATTTAATAAGTTTTTATAAAAAAAAAATAAGAAACAAATGAACATTGGTGTGTCTTTAAAAAATGAGCGGGGTTTAGAATGAGCATACAAACAATAACAAATATATTTAAATGACATCTAGAAATACAAACATATATGTTCGGATTTTGAATTTTTCAATGCTCATATCATAACTAATTTATGCTCATTCGATATTTATGTTATGCTCATTTTTAAATGTTATATCAATGCGCATTTCGTAAGTGTCATATTCTCATTTGCTACTTGTCTTCATTTTGCATTTCTTTTTATGATATATTCATCTGAAATCTTTTTGTGCTCATTTTATAATATTGATCATATCAATACTCATTTCTTTTAAAAATTATACTCATATAAGTATTACATAAAACTCATTTTCATATATAATTCACAAATATAATTTTATTCATAAAAAACCAAGCTAGTATAATTACACTCATTTGCTAAAGTATCAATAGAAAAAAAAAGGGATGACACCCCATCCCTGAGGCCCCCCAGCACCGACCGGACGGCACGATGGGAGGATGTAAATTGGACTATTATCACAATCTGACAGATAGAGAGTGAGGCTCTTTCCCCGGTACTTGCAGAAGCCCTATGCATTTTTCAGCATAATAACCCCTTATCGCAGTTGCCGGGATTCGAACCCGAGACCTAACCCTTGTGGTACTCCCTCGCTACCAGTTGAGCTACGCCCACCAGTACTAAAGTATCAATAGATTTATCCATAAGAAAATAACAACTTTATTAAATCCTTATCCTAGAAGTACAATCTTTATTATGCTTATTTTACAAGGTTACAAATGAGGACATTTATTTTACACATTATACTCATTTTGGTGTAACAAAATACTTTCAACATTAAACACGCAATAACTAAACATAGTACACTTTAAATTAATAAAATTAGCACTGTTTACTACTTTTTATAGAAAAAATTAAATTATTGGAAAAGAATATCTCAACCATTTTACAAGTGCTTTAAACATCAAACTCACGGTATAAAATTAGAGGGAAAAAATGTCAAATAGGCCCCCTTACTATTAAGAAAATGCCAATTAGACCCTCCAACTCAAAAATCACTCAATTAAAGCCATGAAGTATAAAAAATGAGTCAAATTGTCTTTTTAAGAGGTAACTCCCCGTGTTCCCGATTAAATTACATATGTGGCATATGATGTGGCAAAAATTTCCATTTTCTTTTTCATTTTCTTTCTTTATTTCTTGGTGACAACACCGGTACCCTTCTAAAAAATAGGGTACCGTACCTACCATTCATTTAATTAGACAACACCACTTTATCTTTTTTAATTTAGATTTAAATAATTCAACTGCTATATTCTCATTGGTCCATGTGGACAAAGATATGGTACCTTATGAGTACATTTAATCTACCTTATTTCTTTCCTCTCGGCTCCATTTCTTCTTCGATCTTCTTCTTCTTACCTGCGCCTGGAACTCATTTGTTTCTTCTTTCTTTCTTTTCCCGTTTTCTCCCCCCTAGTTCTTCCTCACTGTCTACCCTTCCTCCGCCAATTCCTCTTCTCCACCGCCACCTCCGACGAGCTCCACTCCTCTGTTGCAGCCATGGCGGCCTTGCGTTGAAATCTAACTAGTTTCATCACTTGTCTCCAAGCACAAAGATTCTCCCACAAATCCGGTCCGTACGATTCTCCCGAATATGCACATCTCTGGATTGCAGGTCAAGGCCACCCCAGCCGGATCTGTGGGGCCCTCCAGTGACGGAATGCCGAAGCTATTGCCTATTGGGAGCAGACAAAGACACCCAGCAAACACAGCTCATCTTGGAGGCGGTAATAAGCGGACAAATAGGGGAAGAAGAAAGCTAAGGGGGTAAGAAACAAAAAAGAAAGGAGAAAGAGAAAGAGAGAAGAGAGTAGGGATGTAAAAAAAAACCGATCCGCAATGACCCGCCCTGGCCAGAGACATTTGGGGCGGGTCCACCCCGCCCCGTCTTGCAAATGGGGCGGGTCCACCCCGCCCCGCCTATACAATGGGGCGGGTCCGGGTATTAGAATTGACCCGTTCCGCCCCGACCCGACCCGACCCGCTCAATATATAAATATACATACTTTTTCTTAACTTATACTACAAATATACTTAAACATACATATGTGTGTATATAATATATCATAAATTCTTTGATCTTATAGTATATGAATATATATTAGAATGAGATGCACGACGGATTATCAATGTATTCTTTATATATATAGAATTTTAATACATTTATTCAATTATTAATATAACTAATTAGATTAACTATTCAAGTTTGAGTAATTTTTTGAGTCAATTCCCTAAATAGGACTAAAAAGTGACAAAATTGCACAAATAGGACTACATTTTTTAAATTCCCTTAATAGGACTATTTATGTGTGTTTGGACAAATATACCCTTGTAACTTGTGAGATGTTTAATTAATAATAAAATCATAAAAAAATTAATAAAAATCGAAAAGAAATACTAAAAATCGTAAAACAATAATAGAAAATTAACAAAAATATTTAAAAAAAAATAAAAAAAAAATATTTTTAAAAAAAAAATAAAAAATAAATAAAAAATCATAAAATTAAAAAATAAACATTACCACCCCTGCCACCCCCAGCACCACCATCTCCCATCACCGGAGAAAAATATGCCAACATTTTAAATAATGTCATAATGATGGCATATTCAATGAAAATGTTGGCATATTGAAGAGTAATTATGCCATCTTTTTGACATTTTCAGAAAAATATGGCATTTTTTACCAAAAGTGGAAGAAATTTCACCAATCGGGGGTGGTGGTGCTGGGAGGCGGCGGGAGGCGGTGAGAAAGGTATCCATAATTTTTTTCATTTTTATGGGTTTTTACTATTTTTTATTATTTTTTTTAAAAAATTAAAAAAAATTATTTTATAATTGTTTTATAAATTTTTTATAATTTTTTACGTTTTTTTAAATATTTTTTACGTTTTTTATGATTTTATTATGAATTAAAGCATTTCATTATGAATTAATACTCTTAGGGGTATTTAGGGTAGAAAATCAATGTTTAGTCCTATTTAGGGAATTTTAAAAATAATAGTCCTATTTGTGCTTTTTAGGAACTTATTAGTCCTATTTAGGACAATTTCCGTAATTTTTTCTTAATTTTTGAAATTTTTAGCGTATCATGAATTTGATTTAATATGTTGAGTTTTAATTATTATTTAGAGATAAACATTATGTAGATTCAATTGGTAACAACTTCCTACAAATAAAAATAAAAACTAGCTAATTAGGCAGCGGCGGGCCGGACCCGCCCCGCATGGAGCGGGTCATGGGTCAACAAGTTTGGACCCGTGAAGGTCACGGGGCGGGGCGGACCCGCCCCGCCAAGTCACTGGGCGGGTCCGGGTCTTACAATACCGCCCCGCCCCGACCCATTGCCATGCCTAGAAAAGAGAAAGAAAAAAGATCTGCCACGTGTCGCCACATGCCGCCACGTGTACATGTTTACCTAATAATTGGTGATTAACTTATTAAAAAGCTGATTTGAACTCTTTTTGAAGTTGAGGTATTTAATTGGGTGATATTTGAGTTGGCGGGCCTAATTGATATTTTTGTTATAGTAGAGAAACTTATTTGACACTTTTCCAAAGAACTCTTGTTGGATAAGGGCCAGTTTGGTCCTCGAAGTTGCAAAAAAGGGGTCAAATAAGTCCTTATATAGAAGATTTTGTCTGGACGTGCCATCTGAGGTGGCTCCCGGTGGAATTTTTTGATGAAATGTTTCGAGCATCTTATTCATTAAGTCTAGTTTACTCATACTAAGTTTCAGATAAAAATTCAATGGAGAAGACATTCAAATGAATTCTTGAAGATAACTGTGCCGTTAAAAGCGCTGTTATCTTCAAGAATTCATTTGAATGTCTTCCCGATTAAATTTTTAGCTGAAATTTGGTATGAGTAAACTAGACTTAATGAATAAGATGCTCAAAAAAATTTATCACAATATTCCACCGGGAGCCACTTCAAATGGCACGTCTGGACAGAATCTTCTATATAAGGACTTACTTGACGCCTTTTTGTAACTTCGAGGATCAAACTGACCCTTTACTCATTAGAGAATCTAATCACGAGAACTTTCACGGAAAACCAATCATACATATATCAACATTTGTTCTGAAACTCACTTGATGCTAGTCACGCGGTTGGGGGATCCTAGGCACCAACTAAGCGCCATCTAGGCTGATTTTTTGGCCGACTAGACTAATTAATCCTCCACAATTAGGAGCCGCCTAGCGCCTATAAGCTAATTGATTGGACCACTAGATCGATTTTTAGAACAATGATATCAACATATGTAGGGAGTGTTTGCAATTGCTTCAACTTTAAAAAATTGATTTTGGGAAAAGTGATTAATAGTAAAAGTTGGTAGTGTTTGAGAAAAAAGTGATTCTGGAAAAGTAAAAGTTGGTAGTGTTTGGTAAAATAAGCACTTTTTGTGTAATAGAAAAAGTGAGAAGCAGTTTAAAGCACTCTTCTACCTGCTTCCAGCTTTTAGCTTTTAAGTGATTAATTTAAGCAGAAGCTGTCATTTAAAAAAAACTCTTTTCAACTTTTTTTAAGCCAAAAGCTGAAAAACGCTTTTTTTAAGCAAACCCAAACACTCCCGTAGTATTTTACAAGTGCATCAATCAGTAAAATATAATATTCGATCAAGAAAGAAGTAAAACACGCTTTATTATTTTTTCGAACAATAGTTTGGCATTTAATATTAATAAATCAATATAAAAAACTACATTGAATTGAAGAGGAGGATGTCTATTTTTATTCAAATAGTCATTGAATTTGATTTTTTGGAGTTCACAAGAGTAAATTTTAGTTACTCATTTAACATAAACTCTTAAATACTCCGTATAAACAATTTAAATTTACTCCGCAAATTAGAAAAGATGATATAAAGAATGAGAAGTGAGGACTTAGAGCATCTTTGATGGTAACCTGGATTGTACCCCGTAATAAATGGACACATCACTAATATGAACGGCCATGAAGTTGACGTGGACATACGCACGTTTTAAATTGAAGGTTCATCTCCAACGTCAATATGAGTTTTGTGTAGATATCTCTAGCACATTCCATAAATTTAAAAACTTTTTTTACTATATATCTACATCATGGTCATGGGTTTTTCTTCTTCTACCTTTCTTCTCCAAAGTCAATTAGCCAATTGTGGAAAACTCAATTCAACCGAAGCTCTATCAAACACATATGAAAATCGGGCCTTATTGCCGGCGATGCTGTCATGAACTGGACGTTTGCTTTAAGCCAATTCAGCTCCATCATGCTCGCTGCCTTACCAAGGAAGGACCTGAACTGAAACTGAAGCAATCGCATATGAGCCCAGATTCCATGGCGATGGAGGAGATCTGGCAACAAGCTCCCTAGGAGCTGAAACGGGGTGTGACACAAATAGCTTCATTGTTCACTTAATTAGGATATCTATTTTTCGTTATATTCTAATTTGTATTTGCAACTTTGTAGAGATTTTATTGTAGTTTCTGAATATGTAAATTTTAATTATTAAAATTGAATTAACTATCAACAAGAAGAATTTAACTTTAACATTGGTTGACAATTTCAAAAGTATTGACTTTGCAAAATCAATTTGAGACGAAGGAAGTATTCACTAATATGAAATCACAAACGAGTCTTCGGTAAAAGTAGCGGATCAGATAATACAAATAACTTAGAAAATAAGAACAATTGGCGGCCAAGTAATACTATCTTTGTCCCATATAATTGTATCAACTTTTTTCTTTTGTTAACCTTGTTAAGGAGTTGTGAGATTGAGATCGAAAGTAAACTTATTAATTACAAAATATGATATGTAAATGAAAAAATATTGGGCATATAATAAACGCATAACTAACTTAACAATTATCTTTACTTTGAAATGCAAAAGAAAATTCATTGATCTCATTTTGTACAATCACACATGTATATCTCTCTAAAGTTGCATTTGGTCAACTATTGAGAAATTACATGAATATAACTTTCCAAGATTAGGTTGCTTTGATGCACAAATATTGGAAAACTTCTCCTTTGAATCAGGACATGCTTTATACTTTTATAGGTGAGTAATCATATATTTGACTCATTCAAACAATTCCACGTCTAGAGAATGATTTGGTCAATAACCTATAATTGAAAAGATCATTTTAATTTTATCTTAACCTATCTTAAGATAAAATTCCACGTCTAGACTCCTCTGCAGATCCCTCTGTTTTTAATTTTATCTTAACCTATGATTTAGTCAATTCCACGTCTAGACTCCTCTACAGATCCCTCTGTTTTTTTCCACAGATTTTACCACACATTTTTCCTCACTTTTTTCCAATGTTAGCTTTAATTTTACACTACAAAACCGAAGTTTTGTTTTACTAGTAAAGTGCGGATAAATTTTATGTACCGACAGACCTATTTATACTAAAAATTGTAAACGCTTTGTCTCGGATAATAACGTGCCAAAATCGTTCCAAAGTATTCCAGAAACTACCCTAACGTCTCTATTTGGCACGGTTTATTCCGTGCCAAATCCGTTCCAAAGGAGTTCTAACACCTCGGTAACAGAGGTTTAGACAATTATTACGCGTGGGCCGGCGTGGCTAGACTGGGACGGATAATTCCGTGCTAAAGCCGAGACAATAATTTCAAAATTAATGAAACCGATGCGGCCTCAACGATGTTTACTACGGTGGGACGGCTTGTGGATCAATTTTTTGAAGCTCGATACAGAGGAGTCTCGGACAGTCCTTCACAATTTCCGTGCCAAAGCAAAAAATATTTAATCCGTACTTCAACATTTTCACCCGCATTCCCTAAACCCCTAAGCCCATTTACCTCTGTGAAACCGTAACCCTACTCGATCTCATCCTTCTCTAACTCTACTCTCATCCTTCTCTTACTTTACTCTCATCCTTCTCTTACTCTACGGGACGATGACGCCGCCGCTCAATCTACTCCAGGACGCTGACGCCGCCGCTCAATCTTGTTTCTGAAACCGCTCTGTCATCTTCTCAGGTCATAACTATATTTATTTTGTATATTTTTATAAATTTTCTATTCTTAAATGAACTCTTTAATTTATACGAAATAGAAGGTATTCGTTATGAACTCTTTATCAGTTCACAACCTTTCTATAAAATCGGTTATTTTATATGAAACGCATATATTATGTGAAAATATATCGGCGTTAAACTATTTTATTTTCAATATGTAAAATTTTAAAATTTTCCCATTCTTTCCTGAACTCTTTTTACGAAATAGAAAGTATTATGTAAAAAATGGTTTAATGGTTAATTTATAAATAAACCAAAATTTATGGTAAAAATGGTTATTTTATATATAAACCATTTTTTATGTTAAAATATATCGGCTTATCAGTCTCTTCTCTTCGTTAAAAATTTTTATTTTAAATATTTTCTATTCTTTTGTAAACTATTTTTACGAAATAGAAGGCATTCTTTACTAGTCAGTCCATTTCATTGATACCATTCTGTATAATAACATACTCAGTAGTATTATTACTATGTTCAGTCTGGATAATAAGTATGTTAAATGAATGAACTATAGTAGTCTGTTAAGCTTTGAATCTATGAACTGATTTCATTGTATAAGTCTGTTATACTTTATTCATTGTTCAGTCTGTGTGATAAGTATGTTCAATCAATGAAGTATATTGGTCTGTTAATGCTTGAATGTATGAATTGATTTTATTGTATAAGCCCGTTATACTTCAATTATTTATGAGTCTGTATGATAAGTATATTAAATGAATGAAGTATACTAGTCTGTTAAGCCTTGAATCTATGAACTGATTTCATTGTATAAGTCTGTTATACTTCATTCATTGTTCAGTCTGTATGATAAGTATGTTCAATCAATGAAGTATATTGGTTTGTTAATGCTTGCATGTATGAACTAATTTTATTGTATAAGGCTGTTAAACTTCAATGATTTATCAGTTTGTATGATAAGTATGTTAAATGAATGAAGTGTACTAGTCTGTTAAGCCTGTGCTCTATGAACTGATTTCATTGTATAAGTCTGTTACACTTCATTCATTGTTCAGTCTGTATGATAAGTATGTTCAATCAATGAAGTATATTGGTCTGTTAATGCTTGAATGTATGAACTGATTTTATTGTATAAGGCTGTTATACTTCAATAATTTATCAGTCTGTATGATAAGTATATGTTAAATGAATGAAGTATACTAGTCTGTTAAGCCTTGAATCTATGAACTAATTTCATTGTATAAGTCTGTTATACTTCATTTATTGTTCAGTCTGTATGATAAGTATGTTCAATCAGTGAAGTATATTTATCTGTTAATGCTTACATGTATGAACTGATTTTATTGTATAAGGCTGTTATACTTCAATGATTTATAAGTCTGTATGATAAGTATGTTAAATGAATGAAGTGTACTAGTCTGTTAAGCCTTGGGTCTATGAACTGATTTCATTGTATAAGTCTGTTACACTTCATTCATTGTTCAGTCTGTATGATAAGTATGTTCAATCAATGAAGTATATTGGTCTGTTAATGCTTGAATGTATGAACTGATTTTACTGTATAAGGCTGTTATACTTCAATGGTTTATCAGTCTATATGATAAGTATATGTTAAATGAATGAAGTATACTAGTCTTTTAAGCCTTGAATCTATGAACTGATTTCATTGTATAAGTCTGTTATACTTCATTTATTGTTCAGTTTGTTTGATAAGTACGTTCAATCAATGAAGTATATTGGTCTATTAATGCTTGCATGTATGAACTGATTTTATTGTATAAGGCTGTTAAACTTCAATGATTTATCAGTCTGTATGATAAGTATGTTAAATGAATGAAGTGTACTAGTCCGTGAAGCCTTGGATCTATGAACTGATTTCATTGTATAAATCTGTTACACTTCATTCATTGTTCAGTCTGTATGATAAGTATGTTCAATCAATGAAGTATATTGGTCTGTTAATGCTTGAATGTATGAACTGATTTTATTGTATAAGGCTGTTATACTTCAATGATTTATCAGTCTGTATGACAAGTATGTTAAATGAATGAAGTATACTAGTCTGTTAAGCCTTGAATCTATGATCTGATTTCATTGTATAAGTCTGTCATACTTCATTGATTGTTCAGTCTGTATGATAAGTATGTTCAATCAATGAAGTATAGTAGTCTGTTAAGCCTTGAATCTATGAACTCATTTCATTGTATAAGTCTGTTATACTTCATTCATTGTTCAGTCTGTATAAGTATCAGTCTGTTATGATCTTGAATGATTTTTACTTAGTTTTAGACGTTGATGTCTGCTGCTAGAGGAAGTAATAATTCATTCAAGGGAGGGCGGGGAGGTCTGGGAGGTAGGGGAGGTCGTGAAGGCTCAGTCGACCAAACCCAAAGCCTAAACCAGAATTCTCCGGTTGCTGCTTCCCTTGAATCTGTTCAATCTAGAGCATTGCATGATGAACCGTCTGATCATATTGTCCATGAGTCGTTCAAGAATGGGTCCAAAATCTGGATCTTGCCCCATGAAATGCGAAGGTTTGATTAATTGTTTAATTGTATATTGAATTTCTTTTTACTTAAATACGTGTAGCAAATGTTTCCACATTACATGTGTGGCAACCCTATTGTTCTGAAGTCTGAACTCTATCATTTCAATCATTACGAACAACTTCCATGGGCCGTGGCACTCTTTCGAGCATGCGGATGCAGAGCAACAAGAACGGTGGTGGCGGTTGTTTGAGGTACATTTCAAACATACCTTTTCTATAAAGTCTTAAATATTTAAAAATATGTGTTTAATTTTTAAAAAAAAACTAATAAACTTTGCCTATTATTAACTGTAGAGAAAGTATGAATGGGATGCATGCTACACGAGCATAATAAAGAAGAGGTTTCGTTCTAGGGGATCTGAATGGTTAAGCAAGAATATTTGCCCGGCAAGACGGCAGAACAAGAAGCCGGACTGGATATGCGATGGTGACTGGATGCTGTTGAAAGAGTATTGGGGGTCTGATTCATTCAAGAAGAAGAGTACTGCCAGGAAGAAGAACCGCAACTCTCAGAAGGCGAAAGAGTCACAGTATCGCGGTGGGCGGATTTTGGTCAGTAGGCATGTTAGTCCCCACTTATAGAGGACGGCGGTACGGGACGTGGTCTGAAGCAGAGTCTCTTTCGGGCAGCTTTGAATGCTCAAGCCGACACTCCAAGCCCACCCACGAGGAGATTGATGCCCGCATCCAATCGCAAGTGGAAACCCGGTTCGCGCAGCAGGAGCAACTCTGGCGAGCACAGATGGAGAATATGTCCACCGCGTTTATGTCGATCATGCGACAAGTCCAGAGCTCTAACTCGTCTGTCCCGATGCCTGATATCTCGGCTTTGCATACCCCGACCCCTGTTGCTAAGAATTGCCTGAATGAAAATGAAATTGTTAGGATGGATGATCTATTCCCCGACATTAACACCGATGGCATTGTGGGCCTGGTGTAATGTTATGTCGATGATGAATGTGAAACCCGGACATCTTTTTTACTTTATGTTGTTTCTGGTCTGGACATCTTTTTTCTTTCTGAACACCTGAGTAGGCCATTTGAAATTGGCTTGTATAATGTTGTGTTTATTTATGCCTTTTTTAATGATATGTGGATGAATGTTTGCCTGTTTTTATTTACTGTTAATTGCAATTCAATATTGTACTGTTTGATTTTATGTGATGTATGAAATCAAAAAAACGTATACCGTATATATGTACGTATATACGGTATACATTTTTTTTTTTGATATTTTAAATGCTTGGCACGGAATTTTCCGTTCCAAAGTTTGACAATTTTAATACGGAACTATGACGTGGTATCCATACCAAATTCCGAGCCAAATCAATTCCGAGACAATGACTTTGGGTTTTTTATCTAACGTTTGGGTGAGAAAATACGCAACCTAAAACCGTGCCAACGTTTGCGTCGGAACTAACTATCCGAGCCAACACGTTTGGCAGGAGCCAGGTGGCACGAAATCGGGATCCGTGCGAAATCCGAGCCAAGACCGTTCGTCTGGGAAAATTATAAAGGAATCCCTTCCCAAATCCGTGCCTATACCGAGTTTCTTTGGTAGTGAATTATGGGAATGTAAATGATAAAAGTGCGCAATAATGTTCCTAAAAGTGCATATTTATTTTTAGGTATGCATGGACATTCTGATATAGTTATTGATACAAGTGCATAAATTTGCCATAAAAGAGCACCACTAGAATAACAAAAGTTGCACATTAATTTTCATTTGAATGAGAAAATATATATTATGACTCCTCCTAGTATTAGTTATTTTTTGATCATCAATTTAAGAAAGTCACATATATATCATTGAAAAAATGTTATATCTTGACGTGCACAATCTGGGGTTAAAAATAAATGTAAACATATAATTGATAAAAGCACAATAATATTTCTAAAAGTGCAATGTAGTAATTCTAGATATGCAGTTTTACCATATCATAATTACATTAGAGATAAAAGTGCATAATTGTGCTGATATGAGTGCACTACTAACATACTTACTTAAGTTGCACATATATTCATTTTCATATAAAGATTGAAAATATATTATGACTCATATCTGAACGAGTTCTTTAAACGAGCTAAACTAGATCACATATATATTGTTAAAACATTTATATCATAAAGTGCATAACATTTATTTTAAGAATAAATGTAAAGATATAAATCATAAAAGTGACAAAAATATTTTTAAAAGTGCATATTCATTTTTTTTAGACATGTAAATGCACAATTGTACGGTTGAAGATAAAAATGCATAATTTTGCAATATTAGTGCACGACTAAAATAATATATTTACATATTTCGGAGCTAGAAAATATTACCACTTACAATAAGAATTTTTAAAAATGACTAATTTAAAAAAAAAGATTTTTTCATGAACTAAACTAGATCACATAATATATTGCTAAAACATTTATACAATAAAATGCACATGCAATAGTTTGGTTATGAAAAAATTTCATAAAAGTGACGAAAAATATTTTTAAAAGTGCATCGTTATTTTCTTTTAGACATGCAAGTGCAGAACTATATAGTTAAAAATAAAAGCGCATAACATTGATATATGAGTGCACAACTAAAATAATATATCTGCATATTTTGGAGAAAATATTTCTATTTACGAAAAGAATTTCTAGAAATATTACTCATCTTAGGATACATTTTTTGTGAACTAAAGTAGATCACATATTATATTGTTAACATATTCATATTATAAAATGAGCAGTAGTTGGGTTATGAATAAATGTGTAGCTACAAATAATAAAAGTGCCAAAAAATATTTTTAATAGTGTATATTTATTTGATTTAGACATGTAAGTGAAAAGTTATATAGTTAATGATAAAAGTGCATAACTTTTCAATATGAGTTCACAACTAGAATAATATATTTACATATTATGGTGAAAAAAAATACTATTCACGATAAGAATTTCTACAATCCTCATAATGCAATTATTTGCACAGTTGTTATAATTACTTGATATCCTAATATATGTGTATTGATTGTTTAGAAATAACACTAGAAATACATAAAGCTTGATAATATTAATTTAAATAAATGTATTATGAAAAACTGAAAAAGTAACAGAAGTTGGATAAAAGGAAAAGTGAACTTATGTACGTGCAATTGTTCCACGTATGTAGTTTGTTTAATTTATAATTACTCAGTTATAATTGGAGAGAGAGTCGGCTATTGCTGGTTATGTTTAGGGGTGGGCAAAAATACCGAAATATCGGTATACCGCACTTACCGTACCGAAAACAGAAATTACTCTAAATAGGAGTAAAAACGTTTTGAAATTCCAAAATAGGAGTATCATGTTTTTTATTCCCTGAATAGGAGTAATCTGCCAAGTTTGGGAAAAAATGTCATGTTTAAAGCCTTGTAATTTCCAAACTTGGCAGAAATGTACTCCTATTTAGGGAATAAAAACATGATACTCCTATTTTAGAATTTCAAAACTTTTTTACTCCTATTTAGGGAATTCTCTCTACCGAAAAATACCGGAAAATACCGAAATATTGGTATACTGTCATTTTCGGTACGGCATCATACCGTACCGATCTATTTTGGTACGGTAACGGTAAATGTTTTCAAATACCGCGGTATACCGGTATAATACCATACCGACTCTCTACTCAACAATTACTTTTAATTCTAGGAAAAATTGAAAATAATAATCCCAACTATTGCCGGTCCGCCGATAATAATCCCAACTATTGATTATTTTTGTATAATCCCAACTATATGGACCGTCCGCCAATAATGGTCCATGACCAAATATTACCTCCTATAAAAAGTGAATTTTAAATAGAAATTAAGCGTAAAAATTAAAAGTTGGGATTATTTATAGGGATTACTTGTTATATCTCTTCTCATCCACTTTAGAAACTACAACAATTTATTTAAAGGGACCATTATTGGCGGAAGGTCCCTAAAGTTGGGATTATTCTGAAATAATCGATAGTTGGGATTATTATAGGCGGACCGCCAATAGTTGGGATTATTACTATCAATTTTTCCTTAATTCTAATATATTGTAGAAATCCATTACAATTTTGAAGTCCAAAATTAATACTTAAGTTGGTTAGAAATACAAAGATACAAAAATAAATGCCCAATTTCTCAAACCCACTATAACCTTATAGGCTTCTACTACGCTAACCTTAATGACTAATGAGTAATGTACAAATGTCAAGAAACAAGTTCATCTTGTTCCAAGAGCTTGCAAGTCGTGATGGCTGGGCCGCTAAGTAGCTGACGAGTGAAGAGAGATACACTTATGTGACAAGTGTATCCACATAGGGATTCTGCGAGTCGAGACACACAACTTTGTCCGAAAGTCTTATTCAATTTTTAAAAAATTATAAAAATGACTAAATACACAATATCATATTAGGAATAAATGATTTTATATCCATGTTGTTTGAATAGTTTTATTTATTTTTGTTAGAGATCACTATTGGTTTAATTATATCTATATTGTTCAAGTTATTTTAGGAGAATGTGTTACTTTTTAATATTTGGCATGTTGAATCGCTTAAATATACTAATAATTATTGTTCAATGTTGAATTGACATCAATAGATTATTAATTGTATTTCGTAACATTTAAATAATGATTTAATATGTCGCTAGTAATAATGATTTAGTATATTTCGTTAGTCTATGATAATTTTTTGTATAGGGAGACATGCACGATAATTTACCGATACCGTACCGTTACCGAACCGAAACTTCGGTATACCGAAATGCGGTATACCGAAACTCCGGTAAGGTAAAGGTATGCAAATTTTGCATACTGAAAGTTTTGGTACGGCAAAGGTATGAGAAAAAATATAAGGTATACCGTACCGAACCACCCCTAGTTATGTTAACGTGAACTTTCTGTTAGTTGTCCTAAATTTTGAATATTTTCAATTATGCCACCTTCTAAATATTTAATATGAATAGGTACCATAGATCTTTTGTTTTAGATGAATGAGATGTGTTCTTATTTCTCTCCTAAATCATCATTCTCACTTGAACCTTACCCTTTATATATATACACTACGTATAAAATTAGTCTTTTTCTCGCTCATGTCTAAGGGCATTTGTATAAAAGCAGGTAGGCTTTCTATTAAGCGAAACAAACTCTCGCGTATTCTTTAGGTTTCTGGCTCTTCCTTGCATTGGACTCTCAATTCAAGCTCTCTTAATTTTACTCGCCGAATCCTTGAGCCTATAGGACTATTCAAATAAAAAAAAAAACTCTTTTACTACTACATCTTTGGATAATTCTTAATTAGGAAAGAAAAATTAATACTATGAAATGATATTAAAAGGAAATGAAGTATGATTAATATTTTTAATTTTATTCGCATGTACTCATATTACTTTCTAATTATACAAATAGACATATAAGATGAAATTTATCTCAATAACAGATTAGAACAAAAATAATCTTTACATGCATGATAAAGAACTAAGTTGTGCAAATATAGTAAAATGTCACACAATTAATATTAACATGCGTTATTACATGCATGATAGACTCGAATATATTTGGATTTCATTATAATATCAATTTATTAAATAGCTAGAATTCATGACATTTAATCACGCACTTTTATTTGATCAAAGACACAAGTTTGACACGAAATTAAAGAAAGACAATTCAAAAGATGCAAACACATGCACCCCATAAAAGTACAACCGGAAATGTGAAAGCCCTATCGGCCAAAGATACTAAAGATGTACGTAGTTCATCTATGGCCTAAATAGATCGATCACACGACTTTTATTAGAGAAATACAGAAACAGGGTAAAACTAACATTGGAAATATCATCAGGCCAGCTATTTTTATTTGTCACTTGATTATGAGTGTTGTCCACAAATATGTCCCAGAGCTATGTCTGAATGACATTTAGGTCCGCATATTGCATCCTCACAATCCGCATCAGAATGGCACACCCTTACATTCAGACAAAACCCTAACCTCTTCAAATATGCTTGACCTGAAACCACAAAGAAAATATAATATGTAATAAATAATACTCCGTAATAACAATAATTATAATATTATTATTATTATTATTATTATTATTATTATTAGTATTGTTATTATTATTGTTATTATTATTATTATTATTATTATTATTAGTATTATTATTATTATTAATATTATCAATTGTCCTAAACAGGAGCACATAAAAACGTTTGTAAATTTGAAAATATGACGTACTATCATGTTTATGTTCCCTAAATAGGAGTAATATTGTCATGTTTTAACATTACCAAAGTTTATACATGAAAACATTCATCAGACGGTAATTACTCCTATTTAATGAATGGAATTATGACAATCTTGTTTTTGAATACCAAAATGCTTTTACTTTCTAGATCTATTTCTGGAATTTCAATTCCATCCTTAGGATGTTTTCTTTTGGACTGTTTTCAGTCCCAGACCAGACCAGACCAGACTTCTATAGTTATAAAATACATAGGAACCAGACGTTTACCAGACCAGTCCAGACCAGACAAGATCTGACTAGACCAGCAAATTTCAGTCCAAAAGAAAACATCCTTAATCGTCATAAATCATAATTAATGTCATCATATTATGGGAGCAATATATTCATCTGGACCATTTACATAATATATACATCACCAATTCACCATTTTTTTGAATTTAGTTCGATAATTATTTAGACTAAGACATGGTGGTGTTGACTGTTGATAGTTTCCGAAAAGCTCCTTTTTATCCTAAAGCAATCCCAAACACATTAAGGAGTATTGTTTTATCCAAAAAAAATTGTAAATGCCAAATTCCAAATCATCATTTCTCAAGAGCAAGTGCTGATCGAATGGCTTTGGCATAGAAAAAATTGAGTTTGTGGTTAAAATTAACAATTTTCTACTACGTATATGCATGACCAGTGGTGTATCAAGGATTTTTTGTCAGCGGGGGCGAAATCACATTAATTATCTCACGCGTCCCATAAACAATGACCACGTTAAGAATAAATAGTGTAAAGTCAATTATAAATAACAAAATGTTCAGGGGATAAAATATTACAATATCATAATTAAAATTTTCATGCCAGTTAATATTTAACTTTGTTCAAAATAAATTTTCATCACACAATTTATAATTTATTCATAATTATGTTGACAATAAGAATCAAATAAGGAATGAATCAAATATGTATTTAGAATTAATGTAATTAAGTTTCGAATTAATCAAATATCTATATTAGAAATCAATACTTTACAAATTATGTGTGAAAAAATATGTACTTATATTGAAGTAATTTAAACAAGGCAAAATTTGAATGTAATTACGAAGTATATGTGTGAAAAACGAAGTAATTTAAATTCGTTTAGGATCTAAAAAAGTCAGAAAAAAAAACAAAAAGTCGAAAAACATAGGCTGGGACTCGAACCCCCAACCAACCTGCCAATCTCCTGTATGCGTATCATACTAATCCAGTTAGCTACCGTAACTTCTTGTTACTTAACTGCTTATTGTTGTATAAGTTACTGATGTTAATACATATTTACATGTATAACTTTTTATTTGATGTATGTATATATAGGGGTTGGGTGGGGGTTGAGTGGGGGCAGCTGCCCCCCTGCCCCCACATTGGATCCGCTCCTGTATATGACAATATGACATTTTAAATAGTATCAGTATATAAAACATGCATGTTCATTCCAAATATTTCCCTTAAAAGAACTTACTCTATATCATTTTACTCTCTATCCGAGGCATATTTAATGTGGGGACAGTTACCCTCAATACCAATCCAACCCCTGTATATATAATTTAAAATTTTGTCTATAATTACATCTTTATAGTTACACATAATACGAAGTATAAATTAATCTTCTTTACATGTAAATTTGTACATTGGCAATTTAACCTCAATCCGATTTCACAATATTTATGATCTGATATTGTATATACGTAGTATGTGTGGCACGTGTGATTAAATTATACTCTATCCGGAGTGCAAAGTCAAAGAAAACAAAAAAGGAATCATATCCAAAGTTCAATATCGAGACAAAAATAAAGTGCAAAATCCAGTTCTCATGTGCAAAAATGTTGGTGTGAGTACACTTTTGTTAATTTTTCTTTTTTGATTGTCTAAAAAACTTTGTTATTTTCTTATTAAAGTAGTTAATTTATTATTCTGCTCATTTCTGTCTCCTTGACACAAACTTCGACCAACCACATAGTTTTCACTTTTGTTATTTTTCACATACTCCCTCCGTCCCGCAAAATAGTTCCCGATTTCCTTTTTGGGTCGCCCCAAAAAATAGTTCACATTTCCCCTTTTGGCAAATTTTGTATGGCTCACATCCATTTATCTTTTTCTTACACAACCACAACCATAATTTCCACTTTATTCCCACTTTTTTAAACTCCGATTCAAGTCAATGCGGGAACTATTTTATGGGACGAAGGGAGTATTTTTAAGTTGGCAAGATTGACCGGGAGTCCGGGACAAAGGTAATACTACAATAAAAATGTTATATACGGAGTATATGTTAGTAAACAAACCATAACGAGTGAAAAATAGTTGGCTAAGAGCGGCTGGTATGACTTCCTTCTCAAGCTTAGTTTGACTTGGCAATACCAACAACCCATTGTCTTCCTTGTCATCGTTCATATCAGCCATCAGTGAAGGGACTGTTAACAAATTAAAATTAGAAGAAGAAAAAATTGAAGAGATGTCAACAAATTAGAAATCATAATTTGTAGATCTGGGAAAAGGAGGAAAAAGTGAGAAACAAACCAGAAGTAGCTAGCAAGAAAAAAGTCAACACACATAATTTCACCATCATTTTCTCCATTGCCTTTTATTTCTAGAGAGAACTATGGAATTCTTTGCTTCAATTGGTGGTATTTATAGAAACTGGCGAAGGCCGGTTACTAGTAGAGTGTAAGGCAATCTGAATAAATTATTCCATTATATTGTTTGCTTTATCGGGGGTAACATTGGAATTCTTTGCTTCAATATTAGCATGGTATTACTTCTCACAAATGATTATTTGGGGCATGAAGAAAAGTTTAAGAGTTTTTTCCATTTTGAATCTCCCGACTATGGTGTCTTTGACAATTTTGGTACTCGACTTTTAATTTTTCCAATTTTAATCCTCAACTTCAAAATTTCTCACATTTAGTCCCTGAGTATTATCAAATTGACACTTTTAGTCCTCCCGCTACGACTTTGAGACAATAAATGGAGGACTAAAAATGTCTTTTTTTTTTCTCCGGAAGGCCAACCACCAAAATCAGTGGGGTAAATGTCGGAGTACATTTACCAATGTATTATTAAGGACTAAAAATGTCATTATTATAATAGTTGATGGACCAAAAGTGTCACTTTTATGAAAGTCGGAGGACTAAATATCTATGTAGCACCGATACGGGTACGCGGAAACGCGGAAACGGGTACGGGGATACGACAAAAAAAAAGTAGGTTACGGATATGGGACCATATTTATAAATACTAAAAGTTATGGGGGTGTATTTATAAATATTAAAAAATATAGGGGTGTGTTTATAAATATTAAAAATACATTTTTTAAAGACTCATATATTATCCTCTGACGTCTATCCATTCATGGCACTGAAACATTTTACATTTTCAAAATACTTAGAAATAAATTCATATTTTATCTCATGTACACTAGTGCATCCCAAAATATAAATATAGTCAATAAGTCATCAACTTAAAAGGAGAAATAAGTCAAACAACTATAGTTTTGAAATTAAAAGTGCAAGTACTCAAAGTTCTAAAATAATGAAAATAATAAACAATATTTTAAAAGTTCTAATACATATTTGCATTAGAGCTATTAATTTCCGGGGATAATTAGATTTAGGGATAGGAGGATGGGAGAATTAGGAATAGGCCCATTAGTTGTGTACCACATAAAAGCAAGGTAAAATTATTTTTAGCTTTTCATTTTTTAAGAATTTGATTATGTAAGTTTTGAGTGTTTTTTGGGAAGTTTTTTTTGGAAAGTTGATACATGTATCCGTCAGGATACGAGTATCCGAAATTTTAAAATAATTACCAAAAAAAGTGGAAACTTTCAAAAATTACGGCCCGGGAACGTACGGTACGGGTATCCTAGAGTATCGGATACGGGAACGTTTCTGATACGCTGATACGGCACCCTAGTGAAGTATTCGTGCTTCATAGCTAAATATGAAAATTTTCAAAGAAGGGTACCAAAAGTGTCTCTGACACAATAGTCAAAGACTAAAAGTGAAAAAATCATAATTAAGTACCAAAAGTGTCAATGACATAACAGTTAGAGGACTAAAAATGGCAAAAAACTCAAAAGTTTAATTGAGCAAGTTCTTTCTTCAAAAAAAAAAGCAAAATTTCATGAAAAATAAAAATACCATATGATTGCGCATATCTAAAACTAAAAGTGAGTGATTTGTTTGGAGAGAAACCGGTTTCTTTAATATTGAGTCATTGGCAATTGAAGTGCCTAGACACTACTCACTAGACATTAGAGCCCGTTTGATAACACTGAAATCGGTTGAATCGAATGATTATGTTGGAATTTATGAAGTTCTGACTAAAGTTATTGTATTCGCCGATTCTGCTGATTTATGAAAAATTATATTTAAAATATATTATATTAATAAAAAAATTATATGAAAAAATAGTTAAATTGGTCATCTACAATCTCTTCAGGCAATACGACTAGAAAAGTAACTCAAACCTTACTTTTTCTTATTATTACACACTTCAGTGCGCGAAATCGGAAGTTACATGTTTGATCAAAAGTTAACTGATAAGCATGATAAGTCGAAAAAACAGTCATCAAACAGGCTCTAAATGTTACTTATGTGAGGTGTATTTAATATTTGGAGTGAAAAACGCTTTGTTTGGCTACATAGGCATAAGTGCCTATATACAATCAACTCGTCTGAAAATACAAAAGTTGTGTGTATAGAGACAACTCCATCTGTATAGACATACAAGGTGAGAATGTTGTACATCTAGCATTTTTGTGAATATTTTTTGTTGACATATTCTTTTTCATTTTGAATCCTACTTGCACACACCAACTGGGATCTAACATGTGCTAATGTCGTGACTTTGTAACCACCGTCTACAACCACCTTAGCCGATAAATGCTATGTTCCAGACTCAGACCAAATGGGATATCCAGAACCGGGTCTGCTTCGGCGACCCGGATAATGCCTAAGTCGAGTCTGGAATCATAAAAGTATGATTTGGAATATCGGTTTTCGATTCAGTTTTATCAATTCTCAGTTCAATTCGATTTGTAACGGATTGGTAGAGATGGCAATTGTGACCGATCCGATGGATACCCGCATCGAACCGCCCCGGTCAAAATAGGGAATACCGCATTGACCGGGTAATAATGGGTACGAGTACGTATACGGTGAGTACCGTACAGCCGGCCCAGAAACAGGCCCAAGGGAAAAATAGCAAAACAATTCGGTGGCGTTTTTGTAATTAATGTAAAAATCGCGTTTCTGCTAAATGAGCATTAGTGTACTGTTAATGAGCAATAGTTCAATTTTAATGAGTATTAGTCGTCTAATAATGAGTACCGTGTTATTATAAGAAAGCTGATATCAAAAGTAAAAAACGGTGGCATTTTCGTAATTTCAGTGAAAATCGCAGTTTTCGTTAGATGAGCATTAATACACTTTTAATGAGCATCAAACGTATTGTACTGAGCATTGAGAGTCGATAAATGAGTATTGTGATATCAACTTCATATAGGTAATTCACTTTCTTGTTATTATTTTTTCTTTTATAAAAATTCATTAAATTATATCCATAATCAATTCCTATGAATTTCAATATGCGAATCTAATGTAATATAGTACTTTTGAAATATGCATTGTTATGACATTTTAAAAATGAGCATGACATGAGTACCAATTGAGCATATGTAAATTACAAAATGAACATTGATATGAAAATCATAAGGTTTGTCAGTTGGACGTCACGACATTTTCATTGATCATCAAACTTCCCTTATATTGATACGAAAATAACGCTTTCTCTTAAATGAGCATTAATGAACTTTTAATTAGCACTAGACCTATTATATTGAGTATTAGGAGTCTAATATTGAGCATCATAATCTTTGCTTCATATCTTTTAATTCACTTTCTTTTTATATTTTTTCTTTTATAGAAACTCGTTAAATTATATCTACAATCAATCCCTATGAAGTTCAATATGTGAATCTAATGTAATATGATACTTTTGAAATATGCATTTATATGACATTTTAAAAATGAGCATAACATCAGTATCGATTAAGCATTAATATGAAAATAATAAACTATATTAGTTGATCATCAAGACATTTTTCATTGAGCATTAAACCTCCTCTATTGAGTATTAGAATCGTGCAATTAAGTACCGATTGAGCATTCGTAAATTATAAAATGAACATTAGTATGACAATCATAAGTTTTTTTAGTTGAGCGAGCATCAAGACGTTTTCATTGAGCATCAAATCTCCTCTATTGAGTATTAAAAACATGCAATTGAATATCATGGTTTGTGCTCTCGTTCTGTAATTAACTCCTACTTGAATCTAATATAATATGTTATGATGGAGTATATGGCCCAGGAACCCCCGGCCCACAGACTCCCACTACTCCAACGCAGGCCCAAGAAGCACAAGAGGCCCAAAGTGCAGCGGCCCAAGCTCAAAGGACCCCAAGGTGCGCCTGGGGTAGCCTTCGGCAATATGGTCGAAGGCTCCAAAACTCACAGGACAGCCAGAATCGAGCATACAAGGCTACTGGGAGAAAATGGCAGAAATTAGGAGTCTTCAGCACTTTCGTGCCCTCGGCATCAGGGAAGCCTTCGTCTTAACCAAGCCTTCGGCTACACAAAGCCCTCGGCTGCATGGAGAGCCTTCGGCTACCAGCTCAATCATCGAAGATTCCCTTTGGAGACAAGCAACCGCCGCATTTAATGCGGCGTCACATCCACCCACCGCATTTAATGCGGTGCACGTGCGAGTGCCGGTGCCACCCCGATTGAGGTGACCCCTCGGCCGTTAGATTACCGACACGTGTACTCTCATCGCATTTATTGCTACTATAAATAGCAGCCCTTATTCCTCTTGTAAAGGATCCCAGATCAGATTTCATTAATACATCTTACTCTCTCTCTCTCTTACTTGTTTGCTCTGACTTCTCTCTAGATTATTCTCATAATAACCCCTCGAATAAGCTACCCCGCGGGTACACTGTCCATCATTTGGTGCTCTCGTTGAGAGGTCCGAACAATCAAGTAAGAAACCTTCCCCTTCACCAGAAAAAAAACACCTGCCAAAATGGGAAGAACTCGTGGTCAGTCCAAAACCCTCGAGGAAAACCACGTAGCCCTTGGCGAAACCAACGGGACCGAAGCCTCCAAAAGGCTTTTGGTACCCGAAGGGGGTACTATCCTCGAATTGGAGCAGGCCGCTACTGACCTCCGTCAGCAGCTGCAGAAGGCTGCCCCCGATGCCCGAATCGGTCTTGACGCCCGGAGGAAAGACCGAAGTGAGAACCAAGTTCCCCCTTCGGCTCCAACCATCGATCTTCAGGCCGCTTTCGCGGCCTTCGTCCAAAACATGGCCCTCAATTCCAGTGCCTTCGTTTCACAGGCACCCCTCCAGCCTTATTTCGGAGGAAATGCTGTCCATTTTCCACCACCCCCTCCTCTGTTCAATACTCCCACCGAGGGGGTCGTGGCACAAGACACCGCCTCCCAAGAGGCCCAATCCAAAGACAAACGTTACGAGAAGCCCCGAACCTCTGCCCTCGAGAGATTGGGGGAGGTTCTGCAACGCCGAGGGGTCCAAGA